GGAATGCAAAGTTCAGACCTCATTGAGGGAGCTGCCATGCTGCACCAGCGGTAATGCGATCGAACGAATATCTTGTGCTCAGCTCCACTCGGAATGGCGGTGGCATCGCAGCCCACTCTCCTGTCCCTTTTGGCCAAATGCCGACAACCTCCACCTTCAGGCACCACATTTTACTTAAATCAGCTCATTTGTGCATTTGTTCGTTTCTTTAGCGTGCGCCAAATTGTCGTAGGGAGCAGAGGAGATATCAATTACTCGTTCCAATTAGGCTGAGGCTAAGGCTGCTTCTCCCTCCATCACCGCCTCATTTCAGCACACTGGGGAGAGAGAGGCGGTGAGGTCAGGTGTACCCTGCAAGGGTGAGGCATCCCTCTTCTCTGCAGAGGTGGGGCTGCCTTGCGCCGAATTGGCTCAGGAGTATGCGAATGTGAGAATGCGTGAATCCGTCTTTGCAGTGGACTGGATCACATGAGGTCGTGGCACTCTCCTGTGATATCATTATATTTTTACTAATAATGTCGCCTATGGCTGCATAATTAAGAAATTTTTAACTTACATTGAAAAACAAAAGTATAGTTGTCCAATTAATAGAAATCACTTTAAAGCCATTATAGACATTTGTTTTAATTTACTCGGAGCTGATCGACTCGTACGTGTTTTAGCTGGCAATGCACAGCGATCTAGCATTATGATGTTGTGAAATGGTTTTGACTAAAAACCTGTTAAAATTTTTTATACATTAGGATTTTCGTGGGGCTTGTGAGGCAACTGCACTGAGACTATGGATTATGACTACAAGCGCATTTACTACTGTAGAGTTTGTGCATGGTTGAGTTTTCGTGTATTGCTTAGTAGAAGTCGATGGAACGCGACACTGCTCGCAAATTTTTATGTCTTCGGACTCATAGCTTTTTATGTATTTCTTTTTGTGGTTCATCTGCGGAAATTCACTTGCAAACTTATCTGATGGATGAACTCTCGTAGTTTTCTGTTTCGTAATGGTTTTGGATCAACAAAATAATTTTTATTACTAGGAGAATCATTCAAGTTCTTTCTCTTTTTAGTCAAAACCAGGAAAAGGAATCCTAACGTAATTTATCAGTTGTACTGAAGTAAAGCATGACCTTTCCTTTGTATGGTTTGCAAATTGATGCTAAACGTCGCCTTTTCAGGAACTGGACATCCTTTGAAAATAATCAAAGGAGAACTGGCGATGTCTGCCTGGTGGCCTTTAGAATCTTGGCTTGCCTAATTGAGCACTCCGGAACATAGTCTGGTTTTTTGCCAATACCGGCTAGATGAACCATTTCCAGTTCCATTTAACCAAGTTAAGACGCCACCCCTCTCATAGGAGTTTACAAAATGAGTTCAAATCTTGAACTCATCCATCACGCAAACCTACCGATTAGAAACATTTCTGGCTAATAATTCTCGGCTGCAGACCACCTAATCCTATTGAGTCTTTGCATCTCACATGTGGAGTACGCTCAGTATTCTGCACACGAAGCGACTCATGATGGGGTGATCGTCGAATTGCAGGCCATTCACCGTGACACCACCCACCTCAAATTTAGCTAATGTCGACCCTTACTATCTTCGCATTCATTTGGGGACGAATCATGCCTTACCGCAGTCATACCCCTGCTGCAGTGCGCCCCCGAATGCCCCACCCCTAACCCTGTTTTTTCATCGCTGAGTGACCTGTCTCATTTGCGTCGCACTACTAGTATACAACTCACCTCACTCAAAAAGTATACCTATTTTTACAAGACTCAAGACGAACCGGTTGATAGAGCGAATAAGTTCAACTCATGTTCACCAAACACAATCACCACTTAGCAACAATGGATATGGAGAGACCTCAGTAGGACATGCAATAGACTGATGCCTAACCTCGTTTCACAATGCATTCGCATCAAGACTTCCGAACTTTCCGCAAATGCCAATTATTGCTGAAATTCAACGGCTCTAAGAAGAGTATTTAAACCGAAAGCCGCGACATTCGCAAGGAAATTCTAGTGAGACACCGCAAACCTTTACTTTAATTTGGAGGTTTACAAAAGCAACAAAAATGAGAGGTAACAGTTATTTCCAGCGCCACTGTCATTTAGTTGGCTGGTTTTGCGAGATCCTAAAAAGTGAATAATTGAGAGCGTAAATGGGGGAAGGTGGAATATAACCAAGTTACGGTAGTTCACCGCAAATCCACGACCTCAACCTCCCCCTCCGTAAAGACCACATGCGTAGAGGGAGCGTAGAGTTCTTGAAGGGAAGTGTGATTGTGAAAGCCAGTTTCTTTGCAGTCCAGCACGAATTTAAGACCGTAGTCGGGCGTGAGCGAGAAGTACCCCACTTCGTCGTGCTTTGGTGCACACACAATGGCAATCGCTTCGGGAAGCATTAACTGATATGAGAGGTGGCAGTGCAAGTCCATTGAGGACATGAAAGCTTTCTGCGAAGGATGAGTGTGAATCCATCCCACTACAATTAGCCCGTCCGATTCTAAGCAGCAAAGTAGCTCCTCCTCGTTCGTCGTGATACAGGAGTCCGCAGTGCCAGTCTGCTTACAAATGATAATATGCGATACGACAAATTTGTCTCCTTCAGGACTAAGATGTCCGCAAAGCGTCCCACAGGTCTCCCGATTAGCACGGGTGTTAGACTTTACTGTTTCGATGAATGTTGCAGCGAGGGTTCGTGGCACGAGGATGGGATTAAGGCCGTTCCCAGGCCCAGATTCCACACTAGAGGGCTTAAGGGTCCGATCAATTTTGGGCGGCGTGACAGTGGACGGTTTTTGAGAAGGGAGTTGAGGTGTACGAGAGTCAACGGTGACAGGGAGGGCAGTGGAAGGATAAGAAGAGGTAGTGACTGATGGCGATTCTGGAAGTAAGGGACTCCGACGCTCTAACCCTACACCGCGTAACGCCTCAGTGGTATCAGCGGCAGCAGCGATAGCGCCGAGAGGGGCAGAAGAGAACTTTTGGCGCGAAAGCTCTTCTGCTCTGAATTCTTCCAAGATCTCTTTGTGCGCTTTCTCAACATTTCTTAGCACACGCTCGCATTCGTGACGCCAGAGAGCGCGAACCCTAGGTTCACTGTCCATAAAGTCCTTGCGTCGGCTGAGATGATCAATAAAGAGAATGACAAACCGCTTTCGTAGGCAATAGGCCTTTATTTTACAACCGTCACCTTCAAATTCATTTGCCATGTTAAGCATGGAGCGACAGAACTGAAAGTAGGCTTTCAGACTGACGCTATCGGCGTAGTCAACAGAGATTTGACGATTCAGCTCCTCCATTCGTTCGTTCGCCGTCATTACCTTTCCACTGAAAATGTAAGGGAACATGAATTCTTGGGAAAGACAGCAGCGTGACAGATTTACTCCAAACCAAAAACTAGGGCAATAAGTGAGTCCCAGAGAGAAACCCGATAAAATAAGTGCCTGACATGTGAAGAGGGGGGACTAATTTGGATATCGATAACAAGACAAGGTAGACTCTAGAGCAGTCATGCGCTAGTTCGAAAGGGTTTTAGAGTAATCAGAAACACGCGATAAAGTTGTACAAATATATAGACGGTAGATACCAGCACTTTTGGTGTCAAACGAAAATCATGAGTCTTCAGGAATTCACGCAGTTATTACATCATAGTTTATCAACGATAAAACTGAGTGTTTGGAAGAGTGCAGACAAATTCAACACACATACGATCGGAAAAAAAACCTAGCTGATGTACATCTAACCGCAAAACACAAGCCAAAACCCATTCAACAATGTATTTAGTAAAACAAATAATCGACGCTCAGACTCACTAATCATCACTAGGACGTGACGAGCCCATCCGCCCGAATCAGAAAACCGATAAGTGCAGCGCGCTCTGAGTGTTTAAAAGTGCCGCCTGGCACAAAACAAACAGAATGCTATTCAATATGTATTTGACAGTATTTGAGATTTAAATGTGAACATGATTAAAAATTACGTATAATTACATTTTTAATATAAATACAATTTAGACTTATAAAGAAAATTAGGCAATTGCACAAAATATTTATAGAATTTCATGTACCAGTTTTGGATTTGACTCCTTTACAGGTACAGGCAATTCGTATTATGAGGTAGATTTCAGGTTTGTGAGTATGTTTTGAGCCAATCCTTAAATGTAGACGGAAATTACTGCCCTTCGTACGCAGGTGTTATGTTTCGATGTGTGTAACAAACTGTGAAAATCACAGAACATATGCATTCTTCAAATTTTATAACATCAGATGATGATTTGATTTATTTCAAGCCTTCTTATATGTGCAAGCATCCGCTTTAGTCTCATTCAATGTCAAATCAGCAGCCCGTATTAAAAAACGATAAATCCGGGGGAATTTTGGCCTATAGACAAACACAAGCTGAATCACGGAAAGTGCATGCATGACGTACTTTGATCATGACCTTCCGGTACTTTTTTTGGGTTTGATGACCTCAGTAAGCGATGCATTCTCCAAACCTGTTAATTTACGTGCTACGTGGCCAACTCGACTGTGATTTATCGAAGTTGAGTGGTAACAGATCTTACGGTTCGGACATGTAGATACTAAAATGCAAATTTTGACAGAATTTTAACGAATTGTTCTTAAATGTTGCATATCACGTAATAGCAGATTCAGTGGCCACATTTCTCTAAGTAAAAGTTTTCGAAACAACACCAATGACCTTTTAAACAATCTTTCTTATCGTTGATAATTTACAAAGCTTCCTCGGTCATAGATGATTGGAATGAAATCTCTTGAAACTACACTCGATTTGTATACCTATTTGAAAAGATACTGAAAAAGTGTCTTTGCATCCAAATTTTATTTCATTGTGATGGAAATACTGGTGTCTTGAGTTTTATAAAGTACAATGACCTCACAAACGGTGTACTGTCATCGCAATGATATTCGCAATTTCTTACGGCTAATGGAGTGCCAAAAATTTGCATATAGATATGCGATGTTTGCCGTTACTGATCCACTTCAAATATTTAGTATGGTGATTTGTTGCCCAGTAGGTTTAGTCGGGATGGATTTAAAGGTAAGTTGTGCGCAGGCAACTGCAATACCTTGTTTCCTCGACTGCCTGTATGAGTGACGGTTTCTTTGGCATTAAACCTGCTTCTGCTGGGTAAACTGACCGCTGGAGAGATACCAAAGCCCCGCATCTGTCCTTATGGCTCAAAACGCCGCAATAATCGTCCTTTCAAATGAGCTGGGGATGCAACGTCTCTTGGGATGATCAAACGGCATTGAAAGGGGAAGAAATAAACGAAACATGTTTTAATTTCGAATTATTTATTGTGACACTTGTAAACCAGTCGACAAACATTCACCTTTGGCGGCAAATAATTGACTTGGGAAGTTTTGTGTCAAAGTCTCGCTCTAAGTAAATGAACCTGCTGGAAGAAAGCGTTTTGAGATTAATCACTTTTCTAGTAAACAATCTTGTAATTTACCAGCTAAAAGACAGAAAATTTTTGTTAATGCTTGAGACAAATGCAAGAGAACTGGCTTTTGGAGCTTGCAATTTACCTCTCTGTTACCTCAAAGTAACTCACCACCTTTATCTCGTCTCAGGTATGGGAGAACTGGCGTCGATTCTCAATCGTTCCCTGTGGTTGTCGCATCGAAGCAGTTTAAGTCAGACCGAAAGCGATAAATTAAGGACGCATCCGGACGGGCCGTTATGTGAAGATTCGGACTATGGCCTAAAACCTACTCGCCAAGTAAACGGCGTCAAACTGAAATGTCGGAAAGATAGTCATTAGTGCTGCCATCCAACTGTAGCGACTACAAAGCTACAACATCTAAATGTGGGGCATACACAAATGATGTATTTCAGACTGCATGAGCAACGATTGTCGGCCATCCAATTACCACCTCCCACTCCTCCTCCTCATCCGCCTCACCTGTGGCATAGTTTAGCCGTTTTAAGATAGTTCAACAGTACTACTATTTGATCCCAACGCACAATAAGCACAATAGGGGAGTAAATTTGCAAAATCCTCTCGTCCAGGTACGTATGAGGGTGCTGATGTGGTGATCTCCACCAAATTGGATGTGGCTAAGCTCAGAACTACTGCCACCCACTTTGAAGGAGTATTCCTCGATTATGCAGGAAAGGTCCACACCGAGGAATCTGTTGCTATCAGTCATTTTACTTCAGTAGATATGCATTGCTTAGAGGTGAAGATGTGGGATCCAAAAAACAATGAAAAGCCAATTTGTCACTCAAAGGAAATTGACTACTGACACCTCCAAGGCTGCAATCTGCTAACCATTGCGCTCAGCAAACCGTGGTTATCTCCAACGGATAAATGGGTACAAAGAAGTGTTCAGCTCTAAAGCATTTGGATTTAATCGCATCAGTACCAGGAATTTCCAAAAAGAAGCTGTTTGAATGGTTTGAATTCACTACATTGGGGGAGACCTCAGTACCCAGATGCTGGCTCCAAGTGGAGACCATCTTTTCCCATTTGTTTACATCATTCCATCGAAGTCCTCATACATCAAGTCTGGAATGAGAGTGTTGAAAGGAGGATGTTCCTTAACCAGATTGTCTCAAATATAAATTCATCCGCATAATCTCAACGTTTGTTTATGCAAAAAAGGCCTTTGGTGATTCAAATCATTCACCAGCGTCAAACTTGCAGAGTCAGACCGAACTGACAAGTAGGTGAAGGTTAAAAGCAGAACTCAAATTTTTAAATGTTTGAAAAAGGGGTTAAGATGACTGGACAAGGTTTAAATAACTTCAAATTAGTCAGAAAATTCTCATTGAACAACCGAGGATCTCACACAATTTCTGCTTTTTTCTTCACAACTACTACAATAATTCCGATTGATGCGGAGACGACCTCTCAGGATCCGTCAGTGGCTTCAGTGGAACTGCTGCCGCATGAGTCGTACCTCAATGGGCGCAACAGAAGATCATTTTACGAGATCTCACACATCCTACTTTTTGGTTTATCATCTTGCCAAATTGTACGATTTGAACAGTCAGTTTAGACTAGTCACACTAAAAGTTGACCCCTCCTTTTGCATCCTCAACAAAATGTCGCATAACAAAGTGATTGGAAATGTGGTTGAGGTCAAAGTCACCATCTTATCAAGAAACAGCTCGACTTGTTAGGGAATACGTACAAGGAGGAGGTATGGAAGAGACCATTAGGTATGCATATTGTTACCTCAGCCTTCTCCTCTTTCCACAGCCTCTCAGCACTGATAAGCAGGACCTTGCGCGAATAAGTCTATTGTTCCAGTGCAACATTTTGTTTGCCAGCACACCATATTTGGAAACAAAAGTCCAGTCGTTGAGAGCATCAAATCCAGTTCTGAAGGAGGAGGGAGAAGGAGAGTGGACTGACCGTCCACGAAGTCTCCTCTCCCGTCTATACTACTAAATTGAAGCGAGGAAGAAGACAGCTCGGAAATGAAACCACGTAATGTGTTAGCTGATTGAATGTCGACGATTTAATTCCTTTTCCTATCCACTAAAGCAATTTCTCTAATTAACGTTGGGTGAGATGAATGCCTGAACTCGCACAACATTATCTCAAAGTCTTGCAAACCATTCGAAGGTTTGCAAATCCAAATCCAGGCCAGGGTTGATTGACGTCTCACCCTTCATTAACGTGTTGTCAAAGGATCGCGCCAAGTGAGAAAAAGAACACAACTGTGACTATCACCTCGAGTAGAGATTCGATGGCGTTTAATATTTTGCTTTTCGATTGAGGAAGTCGAAGTATACACCAGCCTACCTACACAGACCAAAGGAAGTTTCAACGGCCCTGAAGTAGATGCTGGCAAGATTATTTCACCGTTGTATTCGCAAAATGCTTCAACGCTTCGAAACTAAGGCGAGGGAAGATGACCCTACGGGTCTGGTGCACATCCCAAAGGACATTTCTTGACAGACTGTTGATGAGATACCATTTTGCAGACACCTCATCCGCCTAAAGCATAAAATGCATTCACTTCGTAATACACTTTGTGGTGTCGACACCTTAGTCGAGACTTACCTCGAGATGAATGCCCTCCTAACCTTCTGCAAAAAGCGGCCAGAGACGAAATAAAGGAAGTCCTGAATCACTCAGCAAAGCACTAACGGTAAATGACACTGAACTAAAGATGATTATAAGAGCTTTGTGCATGAAATCATGAGGTAAAGGCCTCCAGGATCTGTGGGCTGATCAAACACGCGAATGTTAAGAAATGAAGAAATGGTAGGTGGATTGGTGGACTGTTCTGTGAGGCCAGACTCAGTGATTAATGGACTGTCGAAATCCCGGTTACTTATTGGCGCCGTGAGGAGCAAACAAATC